ATTGTCTCCTTTTGTGTCACTTTTCTGGCGTTTCTAAGACTCGTGATGTCCGGCAAATCAATCACTTGACACTTGTATTCAATGCCACTCTCTTTCAGCTTACTCTCCATCTCATGGACTTTCTTGAGCCGATTTCGGGTTAATTTAAACTCTCGTTCAATGGATTTGTTTTTGTTATGCAATGATTTATGGATTTGTGTGGAAGTGACGAACTCTTTGTTCCAACGCTTCAACAAATTGGGCTTTTCTTTCAATTCGTCACTCGATATAAATTTGCCTAAAATTGCAATCAAATCGTAAATTAGGCATAAATTTGCGGTCAATTAACAAATGGTCATACATTTGACGATGTGGTCAAACATGAGATAGTTGTCCATAGTTTGGGCCGCAATTTTGGCCACTTCTTCGAACTCAAACTCAACGAATCCATAATTACGTCTCTTTCCCGTCTGTCAACGGATCCCAAACATCATATTAGTGTCAAAAACAATAGCAATCGGCGGTCACCGCAGTCTCGGAGACGGCCGCAAAACAGACAAACCTTCTTATTCTTGGAAATCCTAATCCTTAAGACTTTACCAAATTGTGAGAAATACTCTGACATTTGCTTTTCGTAGAAACCGATGGGAAAGTCACTAATCATGACAACACCTCTCTTCGCGAGTCCTGTCTTTGGATCAAATGACAAACACAAATGTAAATACAATTCAAACATAAATGGCATTCAATATAAAACATACTTTCGGGTCAATAGATCCCACGTCTTGTTTCGGTGACTTCTTCGCCTTTTTGGCCTTCTTCTTGAGGGGCGGATCACCGCTGACATCGTCACCACTCTTTCGGTTCTTCGACAGCGATTTGAGCCGAGAAACAGATTTACTTAAACTAAACATAATTTAAATATGAATTGAAATTTTGAAACAAAAATATTGAGAAAATGCTTGAAATGATCGCTCAATTCAATGGGCAATAAACATGTGCTGAGCGATAATGACTAGAGGTGTTGACGGTTACGATTGCATCAACTCGTTTTGGATCCCAAATAAGTCTTTCATTAGATTTGTGTCAACTCTTGTGTCCAAACGGTGTGATTGTCTTCAATGTTGAAGAGGTATCCGAAAGACGAGACATTCAAGTGGTCTAAAGTATTCAAAGGCGTGATATATGTCGAGGCAGTGATTCTCGTCTCCTCTTTCTATCTCTACCGCAAACTATGTCGCGACCAAAGTATGTGACCATTCATTATATTCCTCCACATCTCGACTATCATTACTGATACTAATTAGCGTTTCTTTGTGTAGACTTCAGATATAGGTGTTATCAAAATCACGGCTTTATACTCGAAGGTATGCTTTGGTGAAGAGTTTTGTCTTAAAAAAGCAATTGATGTCTATTTGATAGGCTTTTACAACATGATGGACATCGTTGGGTACGACCAATACAGACAAGTCGATTACAACACATGGGGTGTGCCCTTAGATGATACCAAGACGAAGAACAATTGATCCCTTGTTTCTCGACACTTGTTTTTATGTGAATTTGTTTTTAAAATAGACTTTAGTTTTTGAAATTATACAAAATGAACGAAAATCTTATAAAACGCGAAGATTTGAGACAATCGATGGTTGAGGAGAAGAGGAGAGACAAAGAATTGAATAAAATTGATTCCGAAAGCAGTGATTATGTGATGAAAGAAATCAATGAATTAAAGACAATAATTGAGACAAAACTCGATGTTTTGGATCAAATGAAAGGAACCGATGAATTGGAGAACAGTTTAAAAGAGTTAAATTCCGATTACGAAAAACTCAATCAATTGATTAGCGATTCTGTCCTCTATTTAGCCAAATATAATCTCAAATCGTCTCAAACTCTGCTCAACACTATTCGCAGCAAAATTGAGGCCAAAAAGGATTTATTGGTTCCGAAATCAAAGTTTTCTTTCAAATCTTCGTTCAAACGAAATACGAAAAGCAATGAAAATAATGTTTCGTCGAAAACACAATTACAATCGATGGACGAAATCGATTCATCCAGAGTTGAGTTCCCATCCGTTCAGTTTATAGGCTTTAAGAATATGAGTGATTGTCAGCAAACACTAGTTATGACACCTGAAGAGTCCACGACTAAAGACTTACAACTCGAGCAATTGGCCAATTGTCGGGTCGAGATCTTCGGCGCTCCTAATGCTCTAAAGATCAACGGTTTGTCAAACTGTAGTGTGTTTTGCGGACCAATCACTACATCTATATTGATAGCCAACTGCAAGGACTGTGTGTTCAAAGTGGCGTCACAACAATTGCGGATTCATTCCTCTTCGGATTGTAAGATGTATTTACACGTCACGAGTCGTGCCATTATTGAAGACTCGACCAAAATTGGTTTCGCGCCCTACGACTGGACGTATGACCACATTCTTCAACACTTTAATACCGCAAACTTAGACATCAAATGCAATAATTGGAGACAAATCGATGACTTTGACTGTTTGGCCGCTTCTGACAAGCCTTCGGACAACTGGTCATTCATTGAATCCAATTCTTGATTAACATATAGTCTATATTTGACAATAAAATTCTGATTTTTATTGCTTTTAAATTTGGATTACATTTTGAATGATTCACAAAATATGAACATTTAGTTGTCAATCAGATTTGATAACTAACTACTAATTATTACCGTATAACAAAATAAATGACTGATTCATTAGTTGGTTATCATAAATGAATACATAGTTTACGGTATAAGACATTACATTTATTTGTAAACATTTAATGATAAGAAATATATAAATGATTTTAAAAAACAATTTATGAAATTTAAATGTATTTTACAAAATATGTTAAACCGTTACAAATAGGCTATAATTAAAAGTATTGTTTTTAGTACTAAAAGTGATTGTATTTGTATTGTCAGAGGATTTTGCGAAACCAAAACTTAACACTAAATCACTAACGAAGAGATTTGTCATCAAATAAATCAAAGTATAATTTTTAATTTATATCAAGTCTTGTATGCGCTTTGAATTGTGGATGTGATCCATGTCTTCATTAATAAGCACTGCTTTACAATTCATTGAGTTGTAAACGCACTGAAAATGTCTTTAAAATGTTGACATTAGGTCCAAAAGAAATGCTGAGATTTGATAATAAATATATTGAATGAATGGAAGTGTGGATCAAGTGATGACAGTGTATGAGAGAAAGTCTATTCATCGGGTGTGGCGGGAATCCAGAAGGACATTGTACTGCAGGCCGAGGCCAACATCATGTACTTGGGGTTGAATTGGACGCACTGTACGGGCGACTGGTGTTCGGCCTGAAAAATGGCCACTTTGTTGCCGGTAATGGCGTTCCAGCAATGGATGCGTCCGTCTGTGGAACCGCTGAATATGAACTGCGAGTCCGGAGAGAAGGAGGCCTCCAATGGCAGGCCTTTGTTGTTGATGTGACCCATGAGTGTCTGGAGAGGCGTCCCCT